ATAACTTACAAATAGGAGAGTCTGACCCATGGAGATGAGCTACTCCCCTCGTCTCTTACCTTACTACGCATAGTCTGTGCATTTAATTGGCATTAAAAGTATCTGAAACAAATGTTTCAGTAACAACAGATAATGTGAAAGGTTGTCTAAGATAATCTACAAGGAACAATGTTTTCAAGAAGTGTCAGTTTTTGATAAGCGAAGGAGCTTATGCACTGGAATCTAATCAAGTTTCATTTAATGTCACTGAATTATTAAATTGCAAGAGAGATCAGAAAGGGTTGTGGTACCTCAGAGAAGTGAAATGTGTGCCAGATGCTTGCCTTTCATCTCTGCTACCTTGAAAGTGTCATGTGGCTGGTTCTTGGCTCAGATTCTGCACTTGCACCATGTAACCTCTTTGATTGAAGTATGTGGCATACAGAATATTGGTGTATGCCACATGAATGTAGATTACTCAAGATGAGAAAATGGCATATACAAGGATGGACTTAAGAAATAGGCCTCTATTGTATTAATATAGCACTAAGAAGGGGGTGGCATTGCATATTCACTTCTCACACTTGCTTACTGACCATTCAGCCAGTTCCATTCTGCAGTAATAGTGTTCTCATCATCTGACCAGTAACTTGGGGTTGACCTGGACCTAGCTCACTTCTCAGTTCTTACTCGCTTTATCTGGAGATGATGGGAAGGTGCAGATGTCAGTCTTAGGAGACTTCAGACCTTCTCTCTCCGATAAGGTCCCTATGGATACAGCCCACCAAGGTCCCTTTTGAAATCCAGGAACTCATTTACCCCTGGGAGTTATCCATTTTATATCTATATTGGGCACTTACCTCAAGCTGCGGTGAACTAAATAGTCTTAATATTAAAACTTTCCTGTTGCTTTTAGCTCAGATATATGTCCATGATGCTTTGAGGAAGGTGAAAAAATAGACCAGTTTGACTCGAGAAGAAAAATGTCTTCCTGATCCAAAGATCTGAAGGTCTAAGCAATTGGTCAGACAGTCACCATTCTAAAAGTAAAAGTCCTACGCTTTATATCAAAGGGGAGGTTGGGCCAGCCAGCTAACAAGGACAAGAACCTTTGAAAAGACCAAGTATGTTTAAAGGGGGTAGGAGCTTATGCTAGGTCACAGCCAATGGGAAAGTGAGGGGCAGGAAGCGACCAGCCCTCATGTTGCTAAGCCTATACTCTTGCATACTGCCTTCTGGGCACAGTATCATGTCTCCCTGCTGTCTAGACACTATCCCCTTTCCATTAATGTGGCAGTGGTGGGGATATTTCCTTTGTCTAGAGAGGTGCATCTCAACCTTTTAAATTTGAGGCACCCCTCAACAGACTCAAGTCGCATTGGAAAATGCCAGCTTTTAGTTTTCACTTTTTTTTTTTTTGGCTACAGAAGAATAATGGAAACATTCTTTTGTTGCAAACAACTCAGAAAGATGCCAACAGGTCAGAATTTTTTAACACTGGTTTCCTATGTGAAAGCTCTGGGTTTACCTTGTGAATCATGTTTGCACACCTAATTGTGCTAATATTGCATGGTACACTGTGGTACCCTTGAAAGGATCTCATGGCACCCCTCAGTGCTGTGGCACCCTAGTTCAGAACCAGTGGTCTAGAGTGAACTAGGCAGTCTTTTAATGTAATTGCAAACTGTTAAAATGTAATCTTCCAAGAATAGGCAGAGCCAAAATAATTAATTTCACTGACTTCACAGTGGAGTTTACAGGTATGACTTTGATCAATGGTCTTGTGAAATTACCTATCCATTTCTCCAGTGGCTCCATATGAGGTAAAGCTGCTGCAGATAAGATACTACATGAATCTCACAGCATGGACGATTTTAGTAGCTGAACTTGTTTATATTTTTCTATTTGATTTTGGAGATTAAAATTTGAGTTGTGAGATGTCATGCTGCAGAGAGTTCACTTTGGGACTGTTTTCTTTGCTTCTGGCAAAGAAGTAATCAGAATCCATTGTCGGGCATCAACATCCCACAGACCTATGTTTTCATGCTTGTCTATGATTCACTTGAATTTCAGTGACGAGGGAAAAAAATCCCTAAAGTCTGCAGCACGCAATAATTTTAAACATTGGATAGAAACAATGTGATGAACTATTTTATTACAAAATACATTGATTTGACAGGGTCAGGTTTCAATAGCATAAAATAATAATGATGCATTTAATTTACACGTATACAAACACGTATTTTTGCATCAGTTTTTAGGTTAGGAAAAAAACCTTTTTTTATTCCGAAAAGTTTGATATTACACATAGCAAGAAACTTAGACATTGAAAAATATAAGAACTGTATTTGACTTCAGAGTTCAATGTCTTTATGCAGTCAAAGTTTAACCCCCAGTTTAACCTGCTGCTCGTACTGTGTAGAATCTAAAACTAGAGGCTTGCAAACAATCAAGTACACATGTGACTTTACATACATAAGTGGTTCCCTTACTTGTGCGCATAAAATTAGGCAAATTTCTAAATGTATACATGACAAGGGCCTACACTTTTCAGTTAATATTTTTAAATTATTCAGAAAATTTAAGCTGTATATCTCCCAGTAATTGAATGAACTTCATATGGCCAAATGTTCTGCATTTCTTGGCAAATTCAAATTTGTGTTGATATAAGCACACAGAATTGGAACAGGGGACCTGGGCCATGAAGCCTTAGCCCTATAATTAATGTTAAGTCCAGAAAGGTCTGCCACAGATAGATTTGGTCGGAGTTGTCTCTACCCCCACACAACATTAGATACAAAGATATAAACAATTTGAGACCTTTGATGCAAAACACCACCTCACAATACAGGAAGAGAGCATGAGAGAGAGTAGTAGGAACTGACCCTGGTGGTGGGTAGGAATTGTTAAGTGAAACGTGCCCAAATATCTGACTAAGTCTAAATATAGTATTACTTTAGATGAATTAAAGCTGAATGAATAATTTAGTTGATTAATTACTTGCAGGTGGTGCTTAGACATTATTGCAAAGAGATAAAAAAAAGAGAACCTGGATAAATAACATTTGGTTTCCTTTTCTGCTCACAAAATATCCATAAGCTGATGCCATTTTATTCAAATATGTTTTATTCCAATATATTCAGTGAATATCTCTTTGGAAAGATGTGTACTATATATAATGGCCATGCAAATGTGAAATACTAGTGGCCTTGCTTTTTATGTAGTAAGTGAAAATGGTTATAAAATACCAAAAATGTGAAATTGCTGGGGATTTGATGCTTAAATACCTATAAAAATCTGTCAGATTGGCCACATATTATTATTTTTCTTACCTGATTCCTGATGTGTGAATGTATGCATGAATATAAAATTCAGATTCCACAAAAAGCCACCCATGTCCCCTCGATTTTTTTTTTTCATAAGTAAACCTTGCTCACTAAAACAGACGTGGAAAATGAAAGAATGAGGGGTACATGTACATGGCCAATGCAGATATTGAAATATAAATGGCCATAGTTTTGCATTTATTGTTCAGGTCTAATATTGGTTTTGTAGGTCTTTAATATTTAATTATTATTGTTTTTATATAGCACTCAAATTTGTGTTATGCACTTGAAAGTATAATTACAAGACATAGTGTAATTGTGGCACACTCAAAACAATGGGAATTTTGCCATTGATTTCAATGAGGCCAGGATCTCACCACAGGAATTTGCACTCTGAAGACTCGATCTGGAAAACATTTTTATTGCATGATTGTGCCTAAACTTTAGATTTTTTTTCAATAAATGAAATTAGCAAGTAGTAGGGGGAGTAGATGAAGGAGTACAAATGTTACAGCAGTTAGATCCTGGATCATTCTGTGTTATGGTATATGCATATCTTTATGGTTCTATCAAACTCTTTCTACTTATATTTTAATGGTAAATAAACAGACCTGGTTTTTTAAATGAGGTGATTTTAAAAAACACTTAAAAATGAGGTTCTGATCCTGAAACACTTTCTTACAAGTCTAATACTTGCATAAGTAGTCAGAAATGTTAGCAGTGGAATTATAGCTGTTTAAATGCCTGGACAGTTAATTTTATTATTCTGTAGCCTATGTTATATGAGAACAAACAACAGGATCACAATGGTCTAGCCTTAAAACTTCTGAATTAAAATTTTTTTTTTTTCAACATAGCTTTCCATATTGACTGCCAGAGTGATAATATGTATTGTAATACTCTCAGTCAAGTTGCGTTAGAGCTTTCTTACACACATATGCACATGCATGTGGATATGAGCGCACACACAAATCCTTCATCTAGAAAATTATTCCTATTAGATTACTTTTTTGCATATACATCTTTGTACGCTTTCTGCAACAAGCTAATACAATGGAAACTGAAACTCTTTATGAAAGAGGCAACAGTTGGCAGTAGGTTGATTACGAAAGCTTTTGACTGCAATATGTTAACCTCCAGCTGCTCTAATCTGATGCTAGAACTGTGGACATGTATTGCCACTTACCTTGTAAACATCATCTCTTGTATGGGTACCAGTGGTAGGGCTTATCCCTTGTTTCAGCTAAATAGAACTGATCCATTTCTCTGTATGTTCTCAGACCACTAACTCAGCCTACCTGCTGCTCTGGACCGAATACTTGAGTTTTTTCATGTTTGCTAAAGTCAAGGAGAAAAGTATGCAAAAACAGAATATATATATTAATATATATATTAATATATATATAATATATATTATATTTATATAATATAAACCTTATATTTAGAGGTGGAGCTAAATATAAAAACAGATTGTGAGCAAAGATGCAATCTTAATTCAGTATTACTGTGGACTGAGAGAGTTCTCACAGCGAGTCTCCATTTCCATGTTAGTGACCTCAGTAAATATTTAACCAGACTCCAATAATAAAAATAATTTTAGTAATAAACCCACCTTTCAGCCTGTATTAGAAAAGTTTGTGTACGTTATGGAGGGAAATTTGTAAAACATTTTTTTTTAATTGAATGTTTGAGCAGTTCCTGACTTGGAACCAGATTCAAAGCTGAACTAGACGAAAGGGCTCTTACTGAAATGTGGATCAGATATTTAGGCCTGACTCTGCAGACACATTCTACACATGATGAAGTTTAACCTGTAAGTAGGACACATGGGATACTTACTCGCATGCTAACATTTGCTTATCTGTTTAATATTTGCTAAATTGGTACCTCAAACAGTACTGCATACAGTAGACTTTTCTCTGCTTCCACGGGTTTCGCTACTTGCCAAATATGTACTGAGAGGATGGTTAAACAATTTGTTATCCAAGAATCCAAAATACTCTTATAGCTTTGTCATTTCCTATTTCCAAATGAAAGAAACCTACCTTAATTTGGATAACTTATAAAAAAGGAATAAGCTTTCAGATGATTGTGTAGCAGTCACTTAGGATCAGCTGTCTTTTTCTTATATTTTTAGTCAGCAGGGTATATTCTTCCATATAAGGTATATACAAGGTAAATCAGACTTATTATAGACTAATAACATATAGTATGCCCACTTAGTGTACTACACTGCTTCATGTCTCAAAACAGTTCTTTTTCTAGTACCAAACCCTGCATAATGTCTTTAAACAGTTCCTTTTTCATACTACCATCCAGGGAAAGATCACAGGCTTTAAGAAAGCAGTAAAAATGTGCATGGTTAATTTGGATGCTGTTGCCATTTGAGTTGATGAAAGTGTACTTTGAGAAAACTACTTAGATTTCTCCACAATTGTATCAGTTCCATTTTGCATTATCTCTCAGAAATTGTGATGTTGGATCCAGCTGGAAAAAAATGTATTATTTTGCTGTATCACTAAAACAGTTTGTCTGGGAGTTTTGGCTATTTAGACAACATATTCCTTTTGTAGCCTAATGTTTGATGAGTCTTTATTCAAAACATCAGTGCTATTAAATAGAAAAGAATCTTTTGTGAGGGTTTAAAAATCAGATCAGTAATGCAGTATTTAGTTGGTTTAGCATTAAATTTCACATTTGGATTACTGCCTTTCCTGTAACTGGAGGTTTCAAATGAAGGTTAGGAAAATAATTTAAATACACTGCTAAAGACTCACCTTTTATGCTGTGACCCCAATCCTGCAAAGAGCTATGCTCAGAAATATTCTTATTGACTTGCACTGGCCAGCTCATACATGTGTAAAGTTAAGCGTGTTTGTGAATGTTTGTAGGATCAAGTCCTTCCATCGTTTTTAAAAATATAAAATTCTCTATCAGAGGCCAAATTTTGCAGGTCTCAAAATATCACTGAAATCAATTAAAGATTAAATTTAGAGAAAATGGTATTTAATGCAGCAAATATTTCTTATTGATACTAAAGCGGTAGCAGCTACCTTACCGGTAAAGCACAGAGTTCTTTGAAAGGACCCTGTGTTGTAGTCCATAATTATGCCAAACACCCATTGATTCCAGTAGGAGCTAGTCTCAAATTAAGGCCTGTGGATTTATCCTGAATAGATTACCTGCTCATAGCACAGCATTCCCTTTTTATGCATCCCACCTAATTTTTTCAATCTATGATACATTTATTTTACAGCTTGCTGTTCCACACAATGACGAATGGACCCGTTTTGCTCGGACACTCGTTGAAATCCGTGCCAACAGAGCAGACAGTGAAGAAGAAGGGGCCGTAGAATTGTCCACCTAGGGAAA